CTGACTACCTACCTACCTAGGTAGGTACAGTACGGAGGCCTACGTAAACAATACGGTATCTTACAACAGCGGTTACAGTCCATGACACCCTCGGGTAACCTTCCCAGTCTTATCGCCTCGCCAACCCGGCCCAGCAAAACAACGTGACAGGAAGGTGGACATCAGCCAAAGCCATCCTGACCCGCGTCGACGCCAGCCGATCCGATAAGGAGGGAGGGAAGGAGGCACGGAGACCATCGTGATTCCACTCGTACGAGTATTCTTGCCCCCTCTTCGGCAGCACCGGGCGGCCATTCCCATCCCATCTCAGATCTCAGATCTCCAGCCCACCGTGGCAGGCCCAAGCCCCAAGCACACAGGGGCTGGCACGGCCGGCACGGCTGGCGAAGGACCAGCCCCCGCAGCCGGCGGCTTCGACTGCGCTGGATACTGTACGTTCTCGACCGACCAATGCAGTGGGGAGATCGGTGTGCCAAGTATGTACTGAAAGTGCATTTCCTATCGAGCTTGTAAACACGACGCGAGTAGGAAGATGGAAAAGCGACAATAGCGACACGAATCGCATCTGCCCCTCGAAGAAAGCAAAAGGAACCTGGGATCTCGCCAGAACCAGAAGACGAAGACGAAGAAGCCACATGATTATGTACGGCAATCCAAGGATTGTTACCAACTTTGCTCACGAGAAATGCGACGAATGATGACACCTGGTACTTGGTGGTTCCGGTAGGGGATCACTGGTAAACAACATGCCGACATCAGACGAACAGAACCGCAAGCAGCGCTTAGTGTCGAGTCGTGAATGATCTTTATTGGTATCATGGCGTGTGAGTTCACTTCTCATCACCTATTTGTTCACCAAGTCGTCAAAGCATCTTCTATATCCGAGGGGTCTTTGCCGGCTTATCAACGGCTTTCATCGCTCTGTGCAGCATGCTTTCTCCAGCCTCTTTCTGATGGGGATATATCATCTCCGTATTTTGTGACCCTATTGCTTCCATAGAGCCTCGTCATCCAAGCGCAAAAACAAAAATGTCCGATCCGCCAGCGCCATCGCTGTGTAGGAAAACAAAAAACGGGGCAAAATCGTCAGTTCCGCAGCGTCAAGCTAGCGCTCATACTGCGGCAGATCTGGCCCGGTATGATCATGATTCAAGGTGTCTACACTGTACTCGTGGTGTTCATCAATCGTGGGCGCAGTGGGCGCCATGGACGTTACAGCCGCGCGGCGACGCGCCTCTGCTCCGTCCTCCATTGGTGGCGCGCTGGTCTGTGCAAAAAGCCGACGCCGCTCTAACTCCTGCTTGTCATCGCTATGCCCAGCATGGCCAGGAGAAGGTGGCGGGGGCAGAGGGGATGTCGAATACGGTCGTAGCGTGTCTCCGGATCTGGTGGAAGATGTAACGGAAGCAGCAGGGTTCAAGGTTGACGGCGTCCTGCTTCCGTCGTCCTGATGCCTAAGGCCATCCGGAGCCGACTCCGACGATAGATCTGGGGCTGTGGGAGCGAAGGGAACTCCGCTGGTGGAGCCTTCCCCCTCCGGCGGAGGCTGACTTGGAACCAGTAGCTGTTCGAGCCTGCGAAGTCGAGTTTTCTCGTCCTCCTCTTGAGGCTGCGGAGGCGGATACATTTCAGCGGTCGGAGTGGGATATTCCGGGTAGTGATTCGGTTCATAATCATAGTCGTATCCGTAGCCCTCGTCGTAGGGATAACCCGCTTGGTCACAGTGCTGTCCTTCGTAAGCGCCATCGTGATAGTGCCAGTCGTGCCAACCCTGCTCTGGGCCCAGTGTCGTATTCTCGGGGACTTGGTACTCGGCTGGCTTCGTCTGTCTTCGCTTCCTGCCACTATCTTGCGTCCCGACCACCAGTGACATTTCAAAGGTGATCACACTCTTGGTTCGACGCAACGCAGATGTGTCCAGGATTGAATGGGACCAATCCGAGGTCATCTGGTTGCCCGCGTCCGAACTCGGCGAAAACGTGGGCTCATTGGAAGTAAGTCTCGGCCACAATCGTGTCTCTCCCAGTTTACCGAACAAGTCCACCACAACCTCTACGTGATAGGTGAAAGAGATCATGCTTCCGGGCACATTTGAGATGCTTGGGAATGCCGCGTCGGGGATTTTCAGAGATGTTGTAATGTCGGCGGTCATGGTGTGAGGATTGACGATCAGCATAGTGGAAGATTGAGCCAGATCCTTCCGAAAGGCGCTGTTGGGAGAGGCCGCAGAGAAGTACAGGCCGCCCAGCCCCGTTCGCGATTTTGGATAGACGTCTTCGTACTCCATTTTCTTTCCCTTCCCCGATCGGTTCGGTAGCGGCAGTGGAGGATGCATATCGATTCTGGCTAGCCGGTACAGGGTGGCGATCACCATGCCTCGTGCATCAGCCTTGGTGTGTGTTACGGACACTCGAATCGGGACCATGTCACCCGGCAACGCCCCGTGCCTGGGTAGTTCTGTAGTGGCAGTGATGGTGTTGGCAGATGATGACGTTGTGTTACTTCGATCGTCACTGTTCTGCGGGCTTGACTTGCGCACGGGCGACTCGTTGTCGACAATATGAAAGCTTGGAGAGCTTGTCGTTGTCCCGCTCGTCTGCACTGTTTCTTCGCTTGGTGCAGGGCTCAGTGGAGGTTGGGCCACGGAATTTGTGCTCCGACTGGCGGTGCTATTCTGAGTATTGTTCCGTGTTAACCGTCCGGCACCGGCGCTCGACGTTGTCTGGGTGGTTACGGATGAGCCAGGCTTGACGACCTTGACTTTGCCGCGTTTGGATAGAGGTTCCAACGTGATGACGCGCGATTTGGGCGTGGACATTGGCTCGATATCAATCAGATCTTGGAATTTTATCCTGGTGCTGCGGCTCGTCACCGGACTGATCGTAGTCGGTCGGGTGAGGGTGGCGGTAATCATGTACGATATTGTGCCTCGCTCGAACTGCCCCACGATTAGCACCAGCCAGCAACGGCGAGAGGATCAAACCCACATCAATGGTGCTCGGGAGACCCTTGGAGGGGAAAGAGATCTCAAACGCGAACTTATAGACATGTTTCTTGAGGAAGCCATTGCCACAGAGGACCTGCTCATGCTGGAAGAGTGACGCAAGACCGTTGCCTTGGTATTGCACCCCTCTCGATCCCTGCCCGTTGATCAGCCCTTCAGCAGCCGGCACACCTTCGCCCGGCGGTATCTGATGTTTGTAAACCTTGGCATACCCGTGTAAAGCGACGACTAGGTGAGTGATATCGAAACCTTTCAAGACGGTGAGAATGACATGGCCTTTGACCGTCTGACCAGGCGAGTATGTTCTGAACGGATCCTCAGGCTCGATGGTGATGTCGAATATGTTCCGTGCATGCTTCGCGAGCGGGTTGGTCAGAAAGGACAGGATTGACCGGGGCCGTGGCACAGGCGGGTTGGGGTTCGTGAGCAGAGACTCGAGAGGCATCGCCGTCAGGACCTGAGCCATGCAGTGCTATGAAGGAGGAGTCAGGCAGTACATCATTGTCTTCGCATGCAGGTGTAGGTGTGTATGTTTCGAGCGAGGAGGGTTCTGGCGACGAAAAATTGATCGAAGTGGTAGGACGGCCCAGTCTGCGCATGTACCGGCGAGAGCTGAGGCTGGGGAATGCGACCGTCAGCTTCGTCATCAATCGGGCCCGGTTGTGCGCAACACTCGCAGGCGGCGTACTGGTATTACGCTTGTGTGACCGGTGGGATGTGAAGACGACGCGTATGCAAATATAGACGACATGCAGAGAGTGGTGAAGTCGAGCGTTGGGCGCGGTCGGCGGGTGCAGGCTGGCTTTCGAGGCTCTCAGGCGACGGCGACACGGGCTGACAGCCGCTGGGACGGATGGCAGGGAGACGACGGGTCGTCGTGTGCTCACGGACTCAGGAGTCGCGCGATGAGATGCAGGCTGCGGTCACAACGGCTGCGCTGCAGGATTGCAAACAGACATCTGGCCAAGCTTCGGTGAACAGTCGTAATGAGCCCACGGCGATGGAAGCTGGGGTATCTGGATGATGCTTGTCTGCAAATTCAAGCTTCGGTGCTTGGCAGGTCGAGAACTCGGTGGGCTGATGGTGAGAACCCTCGCAGGAGGAGGGCAAAACAAGAAGTGGGAGCAAGCAGCGTCGAGGCCCGTGGGTGCCAGCCGAGGGGCAGCACGCACGCGGCACCAGGCTTGGGGAGCGCAGGATTGGGCTTAGGCATGTTTGGAGGCGCAGCTCCGGCGGCCTGGGCGGCTTCCAGTTGGTGGCCACGGGCTCCACGCTGTGCTTCCCACCTCCGCCCGCCACTGCCACCTAACTGCTCCGGGTAAATAATATGTGACCCAACAGGAAGGTCGACGGCTGGGACTCCTGAGCCGGTAGTGTCTATCGACACAGTACGGAGTACACAGTACATTAGTTAACTACACTGACAGCGATTGAGGAAAAATTTCTGTGCGAGTCAATGGTTCGCAAGGAACGAAAAGGACGCCTGACGCCCGCGTGGCATTGCAACCCATGGGTCGGATGATGGCCCCATCTCAAGGCCTGCTGCCACTTCTCCCACTCGGGCGACTTCGGGGTGGCACTGGCAGTGACAGGCCGTTGGGCCATTTGCGCCTCGTCAAGCTTTTCATCCGGACAGGTGCAGGCACCCTCGGCCACTGAGCAGCGAGAACTTTTGCGGAGTGCAGCAGTGGAAAATCCAACTATCCAGTCAGACCACAACCGACGACGCTGAGCAACGACACTGTGAATAAGCCGGTCGCCGGCAGGTCTGGAAATCTCGCCCTCCTGTTGACAAATCCTGCCGCGGACTAGTGGTCTTCTGACCTGACTATTATACACGGTCTGTTCCAACGTGTCCTGTCTTTAGAGGCCAAAGTCGGTGACAGCCATCAACCCCTCCAGCCTGAATAGCTCGAAGCTAAATATGGGGTACTCTGCGAGATCTTTACGGAGTATCTCATCCGGCATTGTGGTCGGTGGGTTCGATGATCAACCTTCAACGTCGCTGCTTTTTAGCTGGTGACTCGTCCTCTCGCAAACTGTCCTCGTCCTGATCATCATCCTGCTCGAGGCCGGCAGCTCTCGCTGGCCTCACCCTACCCTGGACCTGGTACTTGGTCAATTTTGTCTCCCCCAGTCCGTTTTCCAGACCCTCAGGCTCCACGAAGACCATGTCCCCGTTCTGGCCGAGGGCTTCTTTGACTGCTTCCTCCAGAAGAACCCCGATGGCAATGAGCGCCGTCTCGTCAAGAGACTTGAAGTCGAACTTGCCTCCTTGTGCCGCGGCCGAGGCGTAGAAATCAGACGCGTAGGTATGGATCGCCTTGAGCATCTCGGACTCTGGTAGCTTGCTCGAGCCAGGCAGCGTGCTCGACAAATCGTATTGTTGGTGGATCACGTCCTCCGGAACGGTGGTCCGGCCGAGAAAGACTGCTTCCGGTGAGATGGGCAAAACGTTTTCCGACAGCCTCTGTTGCTGGGTCAGGAACCCGTTCAGACCTGCCCGCCCGGCGACAGCATCGTAGACGGTGATCTGCCGGGGAACCTTGGATGGAAGTGTGTCCCCGGGCCTGACTTCATCCACCGCGCCTTCCCCCCGAGAGGCATGTTTGCTTCTAGCCGCTGTTCTGCTCATGTTGTCTTTCGAAGCGAACTCATTTCGGGGGCGGATTATCCATATTCCCCTGGTTTTGCGATCCGAGGTTCAATAGGTGCGGTGTGCGTGAGAACATCGACTTGTGTAGCTGAAAGAAAGAACGAATCATGCGCTGATGGAAAATCTGCTAGAAAGCGAAATGATTGTGAAATGATTGTGAAATGATTGTGAAATGATTGTGAAATGATTGTGAAGCGTCCGTGAATGCAACGCCAGGCTTGTATCTTCTGTATGCCAAGCCTTGGGGTAATGTATCTGACTGGGCACGGGGGAATGGCCATGCTCCTCTCAGCACGGAAATGCATATTAAGTGAACTTCAAAAACGTTCCCTTTCACGGCTATCTCGGCTTCTGCCCAATCGTCGTATAATACGTGGTGAAGAAGACTCGGCCCTGTCTGATGTCTTCCAGAGTCTCCTCCACGGCCAGTCCAAAACTGTCCGATACCTCCCGCATAGCCCTCAACTTCATGCCCTCGCGAATATCGGTCAGGGCCCAAACGGCGTTGTCGGTATCTTGCCTGGACAGCCAGGGCACCGGCGGCATGTCAACATCGTGCAGATTGATCAAGCCGTGGCGCTGGAGTTCCTGGCCAAGGTGCCGTAGCCATTCTGTGGAGCCATACAGGCTGGTCAACTGGACCGTGATGGCAGGGGGCTCTCGGAACGTCCTCCGTCCTCTGGCCGGGTCACTCATGGCTTGAAGCAGTGGTACGGTCGCGTCGGTCCATTGGATGTAGCCGCCGGGCTTTAGGAGTCTCACGATATTCTGCATCACCCAGTCTTTATTCTGGCCGTACACGGCGGCCATGATCAACCGGCAATGCACAATGTCGAAACGGCCGATGAAGCGCTCTGGCATCGGCTGGAAGATGTCCTGCATTTCCAGCGTCACCTTCTCCGGCCACGTGAACCGTGGGGGGAACTGCTGCGGCGATATGTCGATACCGGTAATATGTGCCTGGGGGTACTCGAGCGCCATGTCCATCGCCCAGATCGCGTTCCCACACGCCACATCTGCGATCTCAAGCGTCTTACGGTGCTTGACCTGTTCCGCGATCTCCGGATGTAGCAGCCAGCCTAACCTTCTCAGTAGAAGGTAGTGCTGCGCGGTCAGTCTGCCCGAGGCCAACGGATCGCGGGACATGATGGACGTGAGCTGGAGGGGGTTGCTGTCAAGTATGCGAAGGGCGAGAGCTTGCCCTTTAGCAACCTCCGATGCAGACCAGAGGGGGCCAAGCACCGTCAGGAAGCATTCGACCTTCTCCAATGCTGGGACTGAGTTGCAATAAAATACTCGAGAACGATCTGAGACCACTTTTGCAGCACGAACAGATGCAGGGACTCATGCGCGGACCCATATCAATCGCCCGTGACGGCATATCAGACATCTAATTGACCCTCGTGCCCAGCGATGCCTAGCTCCAATCCGGCGAGGATTTGTCAATCCATATCGTATGCCAGTGCACTAGCCCAGACGTCCTCCGTAAGGCCCGTACGAAACTGCAGCTAGCATCCGAAGTGACCTCTGAGATGTCCTGTGTGCGCGCGACGGCGCGACATCCAGCCTAGGTTGGCGAGCGGGCATATTCGACTTTCGTGCCGCACTCGGTTACGTGTACGGTGACTGAATCGCATGCATCTGCCGCCCGCTGGCCTAAGCTGCAGCGGCCACAATCAAGCGCTTAAGCAGTCGACATTCCTCCAGCAGGTTGTTCCTGGAGATCGCCAGCCTTCCGGCGGGAAGGCCATGATGGTACTTGTCCACCAGATCCGGATCAGCACCAAAACTTGTCGTTTGAGGTGTAACTGCATGCAGGCTGCAGGACAGGCATAAAGTTGAGGTTGGGTGCCTGAGGTCGTGGGGTTTCGGACTGACAGTGTGCCTTGTGTGCTTGTGAAGGACTTGCCCACACAGATGCTCTTTCGAGCGAGGGTAGTCAGAGTAAGGCCACCCGCCAATGCAAGGCAGAGGGAAGACGCTGCTGAAGTTTCGATCCTAGCGTCCGTCACAATGAAAACGGCTGATGGGATTAGTTAGGAGAATGGGGGTCAGACGTTGGGACGAAGCTGGATGGAGTAGGCGCAAGGCTCATAATGAGAATAGCTGGCGCACTTACAGTCCTCTTATCCGAGCATGTCGTTGAGCGAAGTCCTTTTCAACCCTGCCTCTAAGAGTCGCTCTGACCGAGCATGGGAGATGTACAGAAGTGACCTGCTCCTGTAGTGTGTGAGAGAAGCTCCATCCGGCACTGATGAGGCTGCTTAGTTACTGTACGTCCTTCATGGCGAATACCCCTATAACCCGTGGTCGGAATCATGAGCGTATATATTTCTGTTAGACACAATCTGGTCAACAGAATCAACCATCTCTCGAGACACTATCTTCATGAAGTGCGTTCGGTTATGGGACTCTGCCCGGCGCTGTTTTGACAACGGAGCAGATTGGACTTTCTGATGAGCTCGCGGATCCGACACTGCGATAGGGGAATCACTGAGCTACCTCTTTGCTCTTTGGAATGTAAGAGGTATGCCTGTTCGACGGCCGTGGGAACTGCTGGCGTGTGGATATTATATGGTGTTGCTGTTTGCGATTCAAAAGGACTTTGACAATGAAGAAGCTCATTTCCAACGTCCACTGGAAATCCACACCGAAGCACCACAGACTCCCGACATCGTCAGTTGCTGTGTACGGTGGCGTTCAAAATTCCTGTATTTGAGTTGCCCGATGATTCCCTCCTCGAGTCCTTCCTTGTTCTGAGGAGCCTGTTCTATCCAAACCCTGACACTTCGTGGGCGACGAGATCGCGGTAGACCCCTTCGCGAGTCACCGCAAGTCAAGCTGTTCGAAGCTCTCCACGACCTGAAGCTCCTCTCGATCCGCATCCGTCAGAGGCGCATTCCCGGGCCTGTCCACGACGACGGCATGAAAGTTCGCGTCACGGGCCGCCCGCACCTCCTTCACATTATCGCTCAAGAACAATATCTCCTCTGGCTCCCTCTGGACCTCGGACGCAATCTTGGCATAACTGCTGCTCTCGTGTTTGGGACCTGCATTCGTGGTATCGAACCACGCCGTGACGATGTCCCGGCGATCGACGATGACCTCGGGGTCTTCGGGCCTGGTGGGATCCTTGATATGTTGAAACAGCAGCTTTTGTGCAAAGATCGATCCACTGCTGTAGATGGCGATGGCGATGTCGGTGGCGGGAGAAGAGGCCAATCCGTCCATCCACGCCAGCACATCGGTGTACACGGGTGTCGAGTATGCGTGGGATTGATACCCTTCTTCCCAAAGATAACCTGCGGGGAGATTATCATGTCAGTATGAGTATAGACGCTATCTGGCGACAGAGCAGAGCGGCGCAGCGCAGAGATCATCGCGCGCCCCCCGGCTTTGCAGTGAACTGTACCTTGCAGGTCCTTCAGGTACGCGACCTTGACGTCCCGAGCGGTAAGATCCTTGACATGGGCCTCGAACAGCGCCGGCGATGAGCGGGCGGTTTCGGGAAATCTGTCACGGTAGGCCTTGAACTCCTCGTCATCCCACTTCTTGGCCAGCACATCGGGGAGCGCTTTGAGGGCGTACGGAAACTTGTTTGCCACGAAATCAGCCTTCCGCGCTCAACCCGGACACGGTATCCCAGCTGACAAAGTCACAATGTACGGGAGACGATGAACTCGTTGCTGCGTCAAAAGAGAAGGCACCTGCCAGCTTACCAGCGTCTCTTTCACCCAGCTGATTGGACATATCGTGCCCTCTGATAGAACCACCCATTCCCCAGGTTAGTCGAAAGCTTTGCTAGTTGTAGCCATTGAAGGATGATGGTCCGGATGACTTTGCGTACCTATGTCCAGAAGCACGGTTTTCACGTTCGTGAAAGATCGCATGGGCTTGTCTGGAGGCTTTTCTCCCATTTTAGGCACTTTCTTTGCCGTCGTCTCAGGAATTTGTTGCAGCTGCAGGGCTGCGTGAGCGCCTCTTGGTCGACCGTGTTGACACCTTCGAAGTTGGTCGGCTTGTCTAATGACTTCGAGACCACAACGACGGTCATAAGGTGTTGCCTTAAAGAAAGCATGCCTAAGAAAGCATAGCAACAACAGAGCTGGTGGCTTGGTGGGAGGACGACGTGCGCCGGCATCGGAGGGACGTTGTTCCGCTGATCTTTCTACTGTACGCGCTACACGGACTCACTTGTAAAGGAGCAAGTGGCACAAGTGGTGTCGAGTTGTAGCGGAGAAACAGACTCAGTAGCAGCCGTCTCTGCAAGCATTGATGTATGAGCATAGGAGGAGCGAAAAGAACTGCATCGGCATCGCACGCGTGGCTGGCAGGCAAAGCACGAACCTCCCAGCACTCGTGTTAAGCGACAAGGCTGGCCTCCACAAATTCTCTCGAGACCTGTCCTTGTACAGAGCGACGCCATCGTAACATTAAAATGAGGCACACGGAGGTACATTCGATTGTTTGCCAGTTCAACTTGTGCTCAACCAGCGCGCGTGCCGTGGATGGATATCCTCCACCCAGCCTGTCCCTCTGTGGGGGTTTCAAGTCCTTACATCCTACACCGCACATCCTACATCCGATGGACGCTGCTATTCTTCGACCACCGTCGGAATGTCTTTCCATAGTAGTAGAAGATAATGGCACACAGGCACCACAACAGAATGAGTGACGCATTCGTCATGATCGGCGGGATATAGCCATCCTCCTCGATCCAGTTCTAAACCCGAGTTAGCACATGCAATGTGGGAAAAAAGACGCAACGTGGAGCACATACCGTGATAAATTTGCTGAAGCCATAACCCCAGACATTCTTGTTCACAGTGATGGCCACGAACAAGCTCCCGGCGACAGGCTTATAGCTGTCGACAGCGTACGTCGAGGCAATGCCCGGAATGGCCGCAACCTGGATACCAGCACACGTGTAGCCAATTATGACGATTGCTTGCCACGGCCATTGGTTCTCGTATCCCACGCTGACAATAATGTTGCCAAAGTACATGATGATCACGTACGGGATCATGGCCAGCAAGCGCATTTCCGGTTCACGGATGCCCCCGTTCTTCGCCGTCTGGCGGGCCGAAACCCAGTCGGAGAATGGTCCGGCTGTGAACAAGCCGATCATCGCACCGACCAGGATGGCAAAGTTAGTGAAGCCGATCTGCTCGGTGGTGAAATTGTACGGAGGCGCGGCGAAGGCCTGGGTCTGGGTCAAGTTGAGCGTCAAGAACGAAGAGCAGCTCCAGCTGACGGTGAAGGCGGCCAGTTCGACAATCGGGAAGGCAAAGAGCTTCCATGGAATCCAGAGATCGAGAAGGATCGCCCTGACGGGATCCGGGTTGGGTGTATAAAGACCCCATTGGGCCTTGTTTGGCTTGCCACGGCCGAGCCAAGGGTCGCGAGCAGCAGTGTCGACATGACCCAGTTCGTTGTTTGCGTCCCCTTGTTCGAGGACCCCGTCAGATTGTTTTTCTGAGCCCTCGGCTTTGGCGCCTTGCTCAGCAATGGAGCGTCTGATCGTTTCGCTAGGGTGCTGTCGGTGCCACTTCGTTTCCGGGAACATAAAAACAACCATGGCGAGAGACAGGGCGACCAGGGCGGTGTACAACCACCAGAAATTTCTCCATCCGACATTCTCGGCCATTGCCCCAGAAATGATTGGGGCGACCATAAGCGATCCCATGTAAATAACCCAGTAGAGGGTGTTCCATTTGCCGCGGTCGTGGAGGAAGAAGATGTCGGCAATGACAGCAGGCTGGATAGTTTCAGCAGGGCCCGCTCCAATGCCGTTGAGGCTTGCGAATGTTAGTGTGACAACGCGATTTGGGTCGAGAACCAAACTCACACGCAGGCGCCCATGAACGAGCCGTAGGTTTGGGCTCGGGCGCGCCAAATGGCAGAACCAAGGCAGACTAACTGGGAGAAAATGTAGACGGGGCGGCGACCGAAGGAAGTGCTGAGCGGTACCCTGGATCACGGTGAGTCAGTAACTTGGCTTTTGTGGCAGCGTCAGGGCATTACCAGATGAAGTTGCTGAAACCAAGGACGAGAATCGCGACACCAGTAAATTGCACCGCGTCGGCGAGGGAGCAGTCGAACGCCTCGATGTAGTCGCCAAACATAGGTGCTAAGGAAAGCGGTCC